TAATGTTACTACTTTCACGAATCGACTGCATTGGAAACTTTTCACTCTCTCTCGGATCTCTTTTCCCCTCTCTCTCACAACAATTCATTATTATTAGTAGTAACGAAAAATATTGGACCAATTGGCCCAGCGCTGCATGGAATATCACGATCATTTCCTCCTATAACGTAGTTTTCAATAATTCTTGACTATCACTTTATGGGCTGCAAGTGATGGGCTACAAGTGGCAAGCCAAAACATATCATTTGAATTTGACCAACCATCCTTCAGCAACAAGGCCGGGTTTGCCTGACCCGCTTCATCTGCCAAAACAATTATTTACACCAACTTGACAAAACGCGTAGGGCCCTTCCAGTATTCATCCTTCGCCCCTACCGACTACCAGTATTCGTCCTCAGCGTCGAATCACCTCACGATCGAGCGGTCACTCATCGAAGGACTATTGATTTTTTAACATTACTACCGACAACCTAACCTCGGATGCTGTGAGCTAAAAGTTCCGTAATTTAACGATGCCGCGGAAGCTACATTCGATCCGTGACCTGCTGGTGCACGGCAGGTTTCCTGGGACACCGAAGGAGAACTAAGCTGATTGGTCGCATTACGTCGTACGCTGGTTGCAGTTCGAGCACTGGCAAAGGTCATGAAGTTGCTTAGATGAAGCAAGATCATGCTTAGATGAAACGTGTAATCAATAATGGTAGACAGTCATTACACTCTGGGCTATTCGCTCCCATATTTGGTGGTGTAAAGCACATAATAATTAGAACAAAACGATGTTGTGGACTGTTTACTGACGGCAGGCTCAATCGGCGGCGGCTTGGCGCACTTGCGGGAGAATGAATCCGCGTTCTATTTTTTGTCAAATATTTATGGTAGCCTCCGAAGACTTGTTCAATGTGGCCCACGGCTAGGCGGTTTGATTTATTTGCCACAACTTCGCTTTTCAGCTTAGAAATATTGGAAGCCTTGAAGACTTACTAAAGTTTTCTCACGGCAGCATGGTCACAGCGCAGGGCCGTCAAGGTGGTAACCACGCCAGGGCAGAGAATCCTACTCCAGGGCAGAGTCCCACTCAAGGACAGAAAGCCCCACTATATGGCAGATAATCACACTACACTACAGGGCGGAGAGTCCCACTCCTGGGCAGAGAATTCCAATCCCGGGCGGAGTCCCACTGCGGGCACTAACCACTCGCCTGGAGGCACTACCCTAACAAAATTCGGGGACCGCCTAGGCTTCGGCCAAATAGTCACTACACTCTGCGCAAAGTTATTCTGGGTCAGTTGGCCAACTGATCGCAATCAGCGACTAGTCAGAACCTCCTGGCCGACTTTATGGTCTCCTGAGAGTAGGGCAAGAGTTGGCAGAATCCCCTCAGTCCCCTAACCAGGCTCTGGTAGCTGTCTGATTCGGGGACCGGAATGTAGACCAAAAAGCGGACATATAGAGAAGCTGATTTACGTTCGGTCCGAGTCCTAGGCGGTTCCTAATTCAGGCTCGCCACCAACTAAAAATTTTGATAGGGTAAATACACACCATGGGTCGCTAACCCCTCACCTGGGGGCACCATCCACACACCTAGGGGCACTCACCACACACCTGGGCGCACTAACTACACATCTCCAGAGGGGCACAAAACCACACTTGAAGGCATCATCCACACCTCGATAGTCAGTGGTTATTCTTGGTCCATACAGAAATATTTAAACGTAAAAGGAGGGAGAGCAAGCGAATGAAGATGAACGGTTTAGCCAACTGTTAGGTTAACGGGAGATGACCAGAACACTTCTTGGTGTCTGTCGAGTCATTTTAGAATTTTTAAATTGAGAGGCCAGGAGTGTTGATCAGTGTTCAGGAGTTGATCTCAAGCTAGAACCTTCGCCGGCTCGAGGCCATGGAACGGGACAGTACTGTAACATCCATTGGTATTAAGTTCCGAGATGACGTGACAGCAGGCCGAATTAAGCCGCCTGCTGTCTGTGAAGTTCGGCACAGCACACCTCTTACTTCGACAATCAGAACAACACTCTGCATTTGGTGTGCTGCATTGGGCTGATTGGTGCTCAATAACGGTTGTGCACCGCTGTGCTCCTCACTGAGAGAACTTCTGGCGTGTGTCGGTGCTAGTAAGAAGTCCTATGTATAATATTTTGCATTCTTAGGAGCATTTTTCCTGGGCGTCCCACTGATAAGCTAGCAGTATCTGACGGCGCGTCTCGGTTGTGGGGTTGTGATTTCATGTAGGTTGGATTCCTTACATTTCCCTCCTCTTTTTAGCGCATTTTCTCATATATGGGAAAAAGGCGCTATTGTGCTCGTCATGTCCGTCCGTCCGTCTGTCTTTCTGTGACTTCACGTTGTCGTCGATTTTGAAAAAATGCGCTCTCTGTCACTCACTTCAGTGAGTACTGAGTTATATTCTTTTCTCGCGCGGGCGGCCGACGTCCCGTATAAGCGATCTTTTGTTCTAGTTACTTCGTTTCTGTTGCTGTTCACCTGTCCCTCCCAGTGACTCCGTCTCTTTGCAATGCTAACGCTGCATCTTTCGAGTCAGCTACAGCGGACTGGACAATTGAGGCCTCCCGCCCCTGTGAGTGATGAATGATTTTAAAAGTTATTAATAATTGCGAACTTCCGCCTTGCTGGTAATGTTAATTTTTGACCTCCGATGCAAAATAGCTTGATAGCTGGAGAGCTAGCAAACCATTCCACTACTAATACTACTACCACCATCTTAGACATTTCATAATTTCGCGATGAATTAATTATATACATTGAAAAATTTTTAGTTGATTCAGCTTTGTTCAGCACGGATGATATTTCAGCGAAAAATCATGAACTTTAAGACTTCCAATTTTAGTTTCAAATTTTACATCAGCTTAATGTTCGTGTAGTCCGAGCCATCGAATGTTCAATGGAATTTCACATGAAGCCCTAAATTCCAACTACAATTTTTTCATGTCTCTCTGGAAACTTATTAATTTGACCATATGCTGGTTACATTATTTTGCCATGAAATAATTTCATTAAAAAAGGCTATGCGTTTTTGTTGCTGGTGAAGACCTAAATTATCAAGAACTCTTATTAGAATTTGTAATTTCATTCGGTCAAAAAGTGATGTACGTACAAAATACTCAACTTGGTTCTATAATTAACGCGACATCCCACCTGAAAAACGCTGCAGATCATCGTGTACCCGGACGCGTTGAGCACAATGTTCAGCCAATCTGAAATTACTTCGATGAGTATATTGTTACCATTTATTTATCTTTTTACTCTTATTTATTCCTATATTTAATTATTTGCATATATATTTTTTCACTAATTAATGTAGTGGGATTGAAAGCAGCAATTCCTTGCAACCTAACATATTTTGCGATCGAAAATTTTGCTCCTGGAAGATTCAGTTTGATTATATAAACTATGGCATCACGTCTGAAATCGCAGTGTTTGTTTTAAGCTTCGGATTGGCTTGGCGCAGCATTTTTAGTTATCTATCAACTTGATCAATGTTAAACTTGATCCCCAGCATCGCTTGAATTCAATGAACTTAGGTCTTAACTTAGCATATTGTATTTTTGATTGCATAGCTTGAATTTTGCCATAATTTTTAGCTCTTCATAAGGAACTTAGTTGCTTAAATCTATTAGCTACTCACAATTTTGGTACCCTATGACAGTGAGAACCACGACGAGGATTTGCAGAGCACATGTGAGAAGAAGTCCTCCTATGAGGAACTTTTTCCTGCCCAGCCTCGCAGTGATGGGAGCCGTGACCGAATAGGCAGGGATTTCCGCAACACCCAACACGGCCATAGCCACGTAGGGTGAGCTAACGGGAGCAAGGGTGCCATTGTTGCATTACTAAGATCATGGCCATAATTAACTTCAGTGTTTTGTATTTAGTCGTGCCGCCATATGCCGAAATTATATTCGCAATTGTTTCTCATTGTTTACGGTTCTTAAATACATTAATACCTCATTTAAGTCGTATAAATTTATCCAAATCAACATTGAAATGTTACTTTCTTTTTGGCTCCAATTAATTCGACTGGTTAACATGCAGGTCATGTCGATTTTGTATTCATTTTTTTATTTGTGCGCTCAGCTTTGTAATGATCACATCTTACCTATTAGGACCTAAATTATTGTCTTACCGAAAATTGGTAAAGCGAAATCTAACCAATTTTTGCGCTCAAAAGCAATATTTATCATTTTCCCCATGTATATATTTAAGTTGCGCCGAAGTCGCGGAATTTCCAATTCTATGGAATCGGCAGCCAGTTTACCGAATCTGTAGAATCAGCATTTCGTTGCTGATTAAGAAAATCGGACGTTAGAGTTAGAACATTAATCGACAGTTAGAGTTAGAAAAGGTTAGGCCGAATTCGGTCAAGTTCCATTATATATAAATAATAAAAAAAACTTGGCTGACTGACCTAACCACAGATTCCTACAGTATAGAAATGTTGATTCTACAGAATCGGCAAACTGGCTGCCCATTCCATGGAATCTGCAATTCCTTGACTTCGGCACGTCATATACATTTTTTGTTGTCAACTATATTAGATTCGAAAGATGTGAAAACTATTGCATTACATCACAATGTAAACTGTTGAAAAGTTGTTCCACTCTGAACGTTTTTTCGTTGATGCACTAATTTTGTTTCAACTCTTTGCGCTGGCATTTAAATTTTACTCGTTTATATAGGTACTCATTTAATATGATTTAGAAATCAAATTTGATTATATTGTGGGTGGTAGCAGTTATTTTGCCTAGTCTTTTAAATTCAAATCATAGCCGTCGTGCTTTTCTTTGTCACGTTTAAAAAGTAACAATTTTTATTTATCTAATTTGTAAAAATTAATTGCATTGCCTAGACCTACATCCTTTGTGCCCCGATTATTTAGTCGTGGAATAACACTACTAGACGACGAAAAAAATTGTACGGTAAAATAAGAAAAATCGTGAATTAATTTTATGACGCTTTTAACGTACGGGAATTGGTCAGCGCTGAGCGGTATGCTGATGTACAGGCAACTCTGCATCAGCCACACAGGCACCAGAATGCCGGTCACTCTGCGCAGGTACGGCGACGACACCAGAGTCTTGAAGCGGGATAGGAGCGTAGAAGATGGTTTCTCCCCACTTTCTTTCTGTGTTTGATAAATAAGCACCATCAATTCTATTCTCTGTATCTCTGGTGGATATTTTTGATGGAATTAATGAAGATTTTTTTGATGGTCACAATTTTACTATTGGTGTTAATTCACCATACATTATTTCGATATGAATTAAATCAAGGATGAATTTGCCAATTCATCGTTAAAATTATATGTAGGATCACAGTCTGATGTATGAACACCGACCAGAAAAAAACATATACCGCTAGAGAAAGATCATCTTGTGTCTAAATCGGAAACACTTCAATATTTCTGATTCCGCATTTCCGAAACATTGTATTCAGCCTTCCGAAATATTTCCGAAACATTGTATTCAGCCTTTTTAATGTTGGAGGGTTCACCCCTAAATGTTTACCGCATAAATGCCTTCCAGGACGCCCATCAAATTGTCCGGCAAGTTGTACGTTGTTTTGTTCCACTTCGCGACTTGGAGCAGCGAAGCTTCGGCTTCTGTAAGCCGTCCCCGAGTAACTAGCCAACGTGGCGATTCTTTCAGTAAACTGCACACAGCCGGGAAAATAATGGAACTTGGGGTACAGTTTCATCACATCTTGACCAACGAATTTGGAAAATTAAAGAATTTGAGTTGTGATTGTTATAACATAAAACGTGATCTTGCATGCTAACGAAAATCTGTTTGTTTAGTGGCCTTCGTGATGAATGCTTACTTATGAGGATAACCTAGAAGTAAATAACAATAGTAGGGTACATGCATTACTCACAAAGGATTACTTAAAAGAAGCAGTAATGCGAGAGGGAAGGAACCAGCGAGCTGTAGCATCCGCCAGTCCGGACATGCATATGCCAGTCCGGCAAACAGGCTCAGCATTATGGCGTACGGTAAAGCCACGCACACACCATACGTGGACCGCAAGGGCATCGGACAGAATTCTAAACCTGCACAGTTAAAATGCAATATAAAATAAAAAGCAATCCGAGTTGAACGATTAACAATTACATCGCAGTGACGGTAAATGAGACAGTAACGGGGTGACAATTGAACATTCTATTGTAATATAGGATTTAGTTGTATCTGCATTGATTAGGCCATGTTGGCCTGTCGTTGATTCACATCAACCTAGGAGCCTTAATAGTTTCAATCAGAATTTTCCACAATTTTTTTGCGGATTTCGAGCCCATAACTCACTGTTGCAATCTTTGTGATCTTTACCTCCCCGCTTTCATAGCTTCATTCCAGTGAAGTGACACTGAGCTTCATAGGTTTTTAACATCTTAAATGAGCTCCGGAACTCACCTATGGTGTATACAGGAGAAATTATAAACATTGTCGAGAAACCGATGAAGAATCGGCAGACGAGGATGCTGGTCAGGTTCGGTATAGTGACTAGGAGTGTGGTGAAAAATGCCACCAATGCCGAGCCGTACCACACGGTGGGTTGTCGACCGAGCCTGGCGAAACACGTGCATTATGAAGCGACATTTGTAACTTCTACTGTGATATTAAATTCCACGTCGATTAAAGGACTACTAAAATTTCAACTTTATTAGCTATTTCTGTAATATAGGGTTGAATCTGGGTTCATTTGATTCTTAGCCTAGGAGAATGTCAGAGTGTAAGGCCTGCGACATAATGAATCACTCCAGCTACCGACATAAGGATCGAATAGTAACGACTAATTGAAATGCCTGCGAAAAATTGAGTGACTGGATAGAATGACAAGAGCAAATTGAAAAGACTACGATATTGTTCTTGTGACTTGCTTATTTTTAACAAGAACTTAATTATTCTGCGTCAGGATGAAGGCTGTATGAAAGAGTTATTTTATCATTAAATTCAGACCTTTGCATACGGCCACTTTGCTCTTGATGTGTAATATGTTATTCTATCAGAAATGTATACACGAGAGGGTTCAATTTTGCACATCAGTTAAATAAATGCAATCAGTATTTGGATTACATGAAGGATTCAGTCTTGGATTCAGAATATGACTACTGTCCATAAAGTGTTTGCGATCGACGTGTATGCCTTCGCATTTTTGGCGTTCATCCCTATATCTTATTAAAAACCAAACAAGAAGTATATTGGCTCTATGAAGCACCACATTGATCAATTAATATCATATAGAATTGCGTGAATTTATTGCATGAATATTTTCGACAGAGCGGCTATCATTTATAATTATAATAAGTCATAGAGCAGGTTTCTATTCATAAGGCCATAATCTCTTTGACGTTCAATACATACAAAAAGCCATGAACTTCTTGGCTGAAACTAATCAGTCTAGTCTCAAATTTGCCAAATCTCCAGTGGCCTAAACTGCAAAGTACCTTCAGTCTAATTAATGAAGTCTTATGATGCCATTTACTGATTGTTATCGATGAATTACTAATGATTTGCAGCAGAATTTTCTTTACAAGCGATACAATACCCGGACCTTAAGAGGCAAAACATTCTATTCCCTCACTTGTCGGCCAGCAGCCCCCCGACAGGACAGCCAACCATGCAGCCAATTGTGAACAACATTTGAAAGAGCTCCCGGACGTAGGCTTTCGAACACACCAACTCAAACTGTAGTGAAGCGTTACATGTTACAATAGGGATTAAAATAAGATCATAGTATTTTAATCATTTCTCAAGTTCCTATTAAAATTTTTGAGGCATTGACTCGTCGGCGACAGGCCACATCAGGCCTACTCTTCAGCGTTATGTTATGTAACTTCCATGCAAAAACGTTTATTGTTTACAATGTTGTTATTTTAAATATATTAAATGTCATCTTATATATGCAATTTCATTTGATCAATTAGAATGGCTCCAATGTATGTGATGTTGAAGTGCATAGGTTCGAATCGGAAAATTCAAGTATTTAACAATTAACATTCATCTTCGACGAATCAAAAACTATTGATTATGTTCAACTTCTGATGTTCCACTGAAGGCCATGAAATTACTTGCCTCTTCTGTCAGGGTGAAGTGATAAATTTCATGCGAAAATTTATAAAGATTACAGCTCCGTGTTTCGTTTGACTCTCCTCCCGCCGGCCACACGACGCATTCCGAACTGCATTTAGGAATAAATAAGATTATTTTGCTCACTTAATTAGAGATTTATTCTGGGGTGAACAGTGTAAGATAATATTGCTAACTCAAGTTGTTATTTTTTTCGGATTAATACTATGACCATTGAAAATTCTCGCTTAGCACCTTTTAATTGCCGGGTAATTCAATCCAATTAGATCTATTTTTGCGTATTTATCCTGCGCAGCGGCCTCCATTGTAAGACTTGGATAGAGTGAAGTGGACTTGGGCATGGGACTTAATGCGAGAGAATTTGTTAGGTGCTCCTACAAAGTTTACATTTAACATGAACTCGCAGGCAAGACCCATCAAGTTCACTTGTGTAGATAACATGCGTTATATACTAAAACTCGATTATCTCAAATACCGCGGGCTTGTTTCTCATCAAGTGCATTTCATCATTTTGTATTACTACGAAATCAACTAAGGCATAGAGTGATTATCTCTCTAAACACGTTCGATCATACTACAAATATCGTGTGCCGATCTGAACAAACGTTCAATTATCGAGTGATTGCCCGTTTTATTCCACGATTACTTTTATTACATCCAGACTATTTTGATCCTTCAGGGCTCCGTATTCGAATACTAACGCAAAATTCAATAAATTGGTGGAGGATTTATCTAAATTTTACACTACTCCTTTATCTATGGAATGACTAATCTTAATAATTAACAATTCTTCTGAAAGAAGCATAACGCCTTCTAATTCCACATGATGTCATATGCACAGTAAAGCAATATTTTACTAAATCTTCAAAAAAATAATTCTGTTTATTTGTCCACTCAATACCGCATCGTTACCCTATCAGCATGAATTATAGCAAGCGTCCGAGTGTAATTTGATTACACTATAAATTATGACCTGGTGACTTCCCTCTGCCTTGCTAAGGACTCACGAGTTGGTTACAATGACGTCCGATTGATGGAGGTCGAGACAGGTAAACTGAACAGGCGGAGATATGAACTGGGATCCAATGAGATTGACCACCTCCGACATTGGTCCTGTATGGTGCCCATTATATAGAGAATGCGTTAGATTGGTAAATGTTTATGTTAAATGCGTGAAATATGTAGAATTACTATGCGGAAAAGCTTAAATTTAAGGCGTGGAATAGTATGTTAAATAGTTGTATTTGCCATCAGGTTGAAGGAGGCCTCCAATTTAAAAATCATATTATAGTGGTTCCATTAAACGTTTAAACATGATCACGGAATAATTTTTTTAGAAATCGGTTTGGATTGCAAGCAAAAACCAAATAATTGAGTCAAACAACATCATAGATATTTTCGTTGCATATCCAACTTTTGGGCGGCTACGGCAGAACAAATTGAACTGAACGCAAGAAAATTAAAGATATTTAATTGAAGTTTGAGTATTCGCAACTCTCAAGTGGTGTCAGCTGAGAAAACTCAGCTGCACAAGTATACTGTCTGGACAAACCAACCTAGACTCTCAGTTTTCATTTCGTAATTTTAGGTTAGGCAAAGTTTAAGGTGAGGCAAAATTTAAGGTAAGGTTATTTTACTTGACCCTACCATTTTCTTTTTAATTTCATTTATAATATTAGTGAAAAAATACAGCATTAAATTTTTCTTGCTTATAAGTCATTCATAACCACCCGGCCGTCAAGTCAATATCGCCTAGAATTTTCACAGCTAATTACGGGTTAACTCCAACTCGCTGTCCGTCTTTGTAGTCTTAACCACTCAACACCAAACAGTTAATTCATTAAAATATTTATATTGCATTGGACTTGTTACCTTCTGCTTATGAATGCTTATCATGTCAATGATACTAAAGTGGAACATTTATGCATGCGTAAGTCGGCAAAATTGAATTTTGGTAATGAGGATTTTATGGCTGGATATCAGTTGCAATCTGCATGGGAAGGGTGCGTAAATCTCAGGGTAAACATTCATTCAAAATGATATAACCACTTTAATATTCATTACTAAATACTTACTGTACACGGGAAACAAGGAATTAAATTTTCACTGTATAACACGCGACTCACGTACATATTGCATTTATGCAAATGCGATTCGGACGTACATATTGCAAATGTGCGATTCGGATATTTACAGTAATATCGTTTACTGTTGTGTCAATCAGCATGCCTAACGTCTGTCTATTGTCTATTACTGAAAATATCACCTAGCTAAAGACTTTAATTTTTTATCAGTTCCACGAAGAATAAATTCCTCAACGCAGAAATTATTCTCACCCAAGGACGCGACTGCGAATAACAGGTACGTTGCTGGACCGGCACCCAGCGAGGTGATGATCTCGTCCATGTCACTGAATCGCAGTCTGTCGCCCCCGTCTTGTTGAACAGTTGTGTCTGCTGATATGGATCTGTCTTATCATTGACTCGTTTTAAGAGTGGGGAGATATGATCAACAATCCTTTGCAAGCTGGTTAATATGATGGAATTTGCCCTACTCAAATAATGGGTAGCGACAGAACTAAGTTCCTGAGATACTTCTAAAAATAGAGTTGGAAATAAGAAAATTAACCATGTGAATCATAACGCAAAGCTCTCTCTTGAGCAGCTTTTTAGTATTGGTGTCCTGTTCAGGTTGTGTCACTCTGCACTCGCGTATATCCTATTAACCATAGGGAAAATCAGTAGATTCTTATTTTTCTTCATCAAATACCAGATATTACCTCGTTTGCCGTATTGGCTGAGTCATGGGACATGACTGAATTTAACCCTCAGTTGACTCATTTTATTCGCGTTGAAGGTTTGTGTTTAATTCTCATCCTCGTAATCAATTGCTGTAATTAACTTTTACGATTAACGTTTCTGATTCAATTTTATGCATGCTGCTTTCTCATAAGAACCGAACTCCGTTAATTCGGAGACCTTCATCTCTTCTATTTCTCCTCAAAGGATTTCGAGAAATCCCGATACCTCGTGGATTACTGTACAATCAGTGGACAGAGAGAAAGATGTTCGAACTTCTTTTTATTGAGTCCTTTGTGTTTGCCAAAATTGGCCACTTGCGTGACATATGCATGTCTCTTTACTTATTTATTGCTGCCTGAATCGCTGCGTGTAAGTTTTAGTTTCAAGCGGGCGGCGTCTTTTAAGGATATTTCATTGGAATGTCTCATCGTTCCTTGTAGAGAAAATGGAAGCATACAATGGCTGGAATTTAAGGCAAAAATTTCTCGTCTCTTTTGTGTAGTATCACACTTCATTTTTAAATTGAATAAGAGTCAGCGTGTGAAGCCACTTT